GGTTTTCGGGTTGTGTGGCACTGGCTGGTTTTAAGAAGATGGCGTCTTACGCAACAAGCTCAAGTACCTCTCCTGCTCGGATATTTTCAAAGATTCGTTGTGCGCAGACCTTGAAAGAGTGCAAGCACGTGATCGCCAACGTGTACGCGAGTACAAGAACGCGTTTCCCGGAGAAGTCGGTCGTGAAGTCCGGGAGACGGTCAGTAACAACACCGGAGTGTGCGCCCGTACTGTCGCGAAGTACAAGGCGCAGTGTCTATCTGGCAAGCTGGCGTCCCCGAAGCGGAGACCTCGCCATGTAGAAGTTTCGAGCACGGGGACTGTCAAGCATGCCGAATTCACACACAACGCCATTCGCCTCAAGGTGCATCGCAAGTACCCCGAGAGGGGGATTCCTACCCTTGACAGCTATTTCAAAATAAGCTGTTCAGGCCACAACTATTGTCGATTAACGTCCTATTATAAATTTTGGGGCAAGGCTGCTATCAGTGAGATTCCTCATTCCACGCTGCACGAAAAAAATATAACTCGGTGCTGCAGGCAAATAACACTTGCAAAGCGGCAGGGCAGATGGTAGAAATGTAGCCTCTCGGCGACTTACAAATAAATAGCAAGAAGAAAGGAGGAATCGAAATAATGCAGTTCGGCAATGCGCAAAACCTTGCACAAAAAAAGGCTAAAAAGAAACAAAAAAACTGCGCGTTTAGTGGGTTTGAACCACTGCCGCCGAGACGTCGGTATCACCAGAGCAGCCCACCACTCGTCCACGAAACGCGCCCAGGAACACATTTTTTTTTCTGTATTTTCATCCGCACCATTTCAGTACCTTTGACAGGTATGCACGCTATGTATGAAAATGAGTATAAGTGCCCATTTTGAGAACCACACCACCGCACTGCGAGTTGAAGCAACGCCGAAGGCTCGCGTCTCGCAGCGCCGCCTGTTGAACCATTCGAAGAGTTTGCACACTGTGAAGGTAAGAGCGCTCACACCGAAGAGCTCTCTTTACAACGCCTACACACACACACAGAGCTCACAATTGAAGAAGGATCACTGAGGTTTTAAGAGCCACTGATCGTAGCAATCGCATTCCAAAGACGCCGCGTTGTCGTAGATTGCTTTTCACCAGCTAGGTCCTATAGAGATGAGGCCAAGGCCAAGGCTGGGGGATTCATCGCCGGAAACGTAAAGGAACCAAGCAAACGACGTGAGGCTCGCGGAAGCGGTTCGTGGGAGCCGACGACGTCCAAGCCACGATCGAAGCAGCCCTAGTAGCAGCCTTGCTTCCGAGAAGACTGTCACCCGTATTCACCAGGCGCGAGTAGCGCCTGTTTAACCACTGACTAGCGACGTCATCGACTAAAATGATCACGTGGCGAGCGATAGTCGCCGCTAAGTGAGCGCTTGGTATTCACCGGTCTTGTTTAGGGCCTAGTCACCCCGTGCGACTAAGAAGTTGACTAACAAATCTTAGTCATGGGGTAGGGCTAGTTTAGCGGGCGACTAGTAGGCGTTTAGGGGCAAATATGGCCGACCTGCGAAATCTTCTCGAGCTCGAAGAGCTTTCCCAAGTGCAAGCGCTTCGCGTGATGCCCCGTACGGTACGCGACCGGCAGAACCCATTCATTATATGGAGCGACGACAATTTCAAAAGGCGGTACAAACTGAGGAAGGAGACTGTGATGTTTGTTGTGAACCTGCTTCGGTCAGACCTCAACGAAACTTCGGTGAACAACGCAATCTCGCCGGAGCTTCAAGTTCTCAGCGCCCTCCGCTTTTTTGCGAAAGGCAGCTATCAAGACGGCGCTGGAGACATCCACGGCTTCAGCCAGCCCACCCAGTCGCGGATCGTAGGTCGGGTCTCTCGGGCTCTCGCGCGAAGACGCGCCCAGTTTGTGCACTTTCCTGAAAACCGCAGGGAGCAGCGCTCCACGATCCAGCTCTTCTTCGAACGATACGGGTTTCCCTCTGTGGTTGGGCTTATCGACGGCACTCACATACGGATAAAGAATCCAGGAGGGCCAATGCAGGCTTTGTACATCTGCAGGAAGAAGTTCCATGCCCTAAACGTTCAAGTGAGTTAGCTAACAAATTTATTTCCACCTTTCCTAGTACGCTAGCAAATTCATTACGTTTTTGTGGACATTCAAAACGATATCCAAAAAGAGTATTTAAGTTAAATAAGTGAGTACCAGGCAAAACATCAACTACCTAATACTCATCTCTCAAAAAAGTATTCAAGTAGAATATATTTAAATCACTAACCAGTAAAAACTTTTTAGAGCTTTCGAAAGAAAGGTGCCTTGTCACTTCACCTTTCTTTCCAGATTCCTAGGAAATAGAACATCAGTTTACTATAGGCTTTTACCAGTGTTTTGTGGCAGTGCTTCCTGGCTATGAGCCTATAAGGAATACGTCATTCCACCCTGGCTTTGTATACTTACCCTGGTGCTCGCTTACAGGCATTCCTGCTTCAGAATCTAGGCTGTGTCTAACGCTTTGGGGCGTGCAAAGCGACAATTGAACGGCCAGCAGATGTCTTTGGTGTCCTGCCCCGCCAAGAGACGTGTGTCTGCTTACACTGAGGCGGCACATTTGTTTACCGAGATGCAGTACCTACCTCAGAGGTAGGTGCTGCATCTCGGCCCAAGAGTGTCTAAAAAAAAAAGAAAAAAAAGCCTGTGGTCGCAAAGCACTGCAATTAGTCATATTTTTACTTTGCCACCTTCCGATGAAAAATGTGGGGGTATCTTGCGACCAATGTAGCAATTGAGTACAACATACTTGCAAAAGGTATTGATAGGTTAGTGTACCAAATATTGGCTTTTTAAATTATTTGAAAACTATCAACCCACCCTAAAAAGTATTTTCGGTGGGGCAACTTAAGAAGAGTATGTTACGTACAACACTGCATTTTCCTTTCCAGCTGGTTTGTGATGCTAAGGAGAAAATAACCAACGTAGTGGCACGGTGGCGTGGTAGTGCTCACGATTCAAGGATCTGGGAGGAATGTGCCCTTCGGGAGAAGTTTCAAGAGGGGGTAAGCTAGTGTTTGCTACGATTATTGTTCGCAAACATTCTAAAGTGGTACATAGTAGCCTCATTACTGCCCAGCCTTAAAAAATAATAAATATTGGGATTCAATCACTCTGAAAAAAGACACATATCCCTTTTGTGAACATATTTTAATGTTTATGCAGTTTATACTTATTTACACACAGAAAGTGACAGGCCTCCTACTGGGGACAACGGATATACGTGCAGTCAGCATCTCTTGACACCAGTCCTCGGTGCACGGCCGGATAGTCCAGAAGAAGAGTACAACACACGACACAAATCTACAAGGAATGCCATTGAAAGAGTGATCGGGCAACTGAAAAACAAGTTCAGGTGCCTTATCCGAAAACTTGAAATCTCCTTAGACACAACAAAGGCTGTGATAGTAGCGGCATGTGTGCTCTTCAACATTGCCAAGGACCACAACGGTAATAAGATTGCATAATATGAATGGAATAGACATCCATACTTTAAACTCGTCTCAATGCGGCCTACACTTTTTTCTTTTGAGATGAGGATGATTTTAGTTCAGACTCTGACACGGACTACGAATCAAGCGATTCAAGTGACACCAGTTCCGAAAGTGATGAAACTCCCGAGGATCCTCCAAGTGGAACTGCATTCAGGTCGCAGTTCATACAAACCCATTTTTCTTCAGGTACATGAAACAAATGTAAACCTAGTGGGGAAAAACATGAAAAGAGCACGGCCAACGCAGTGAAAAACAAGCAAAATAAATGTTTAGACGAAGAGAAGTTGGTCTGCCTTAGAAGCATGGCGACACCCTGGCGTGAACAATGTACTAGTGCAGTACAACTACTAACTTGGGGTATTAGGTGCATGTCGTGCAGTATCGACTACACTACCACATAATACAGAAGCGCTGACAAGCGACTGAAGTAAAAATAAAAAATAAAAAAGCACATGTTTGTTGAAGAAATAGAGTACCACCAAAGTTAACACTACGGACATCACACATTTCTGGTGGCTTGTAAACAAAAGCATTCTTGTCACACGTCTTATGCATGACCTAGGTAGTGTTGTCCAAGTTTTAGACCGAAACAGACACGTGCCTGTTGCCAAAATAAAACACGGCCTGGAAAGAAGTTATGTGACAAAGATGTTTTTTTCTCTCACAAGCCATCACGGTTGTTTTAGTCCTGTGCTAGCATTGTCTGATTTTTTCGCTGCCAGTATTTTAACTGTTCGCTAAGCACACTCAGCTGAAGCTTGTTTTGCTCTTCCAGGAATTGTTGCTGCTGGACCTCCCTCTTGAATTGTTGCTGTAAAATCTTCATTTGGAGATCGTGTTGTTGCTGGTCGAACTGCATCTGCTACTGTAATTTTTCATTATAGCAGTCAGCTACGAGCTCAATACGCTTTGTTGCACTGCCACGGAGACCTGGCTGCCGAAGCAAGAGAAAACGTGTTTGCACTCACAAAAGTGTTTTACAAAAAATGCAAGTCACTTCAGCGGTGGAAATTCAATAAAAGTGATATAATTAGCTGCTCCTGTGGCTTGAGGTAACTGAAACCTGGGAAAGGTTTTTGGGGGAACCATGTCACCCAAGGAATGTTTGAAAGTAAGAGCTCCAAGGCCCTCTTTTTTTCCCCAAAATTTAGGCGTATAATGCTTCAAGACAAATCTTTTGCCCTAGAGCAACCCAACTGCCGCTCCTGTAAAAGTATTGTCTGCGATGTACTAGAGAGATTTAGTATAGCATACGCAAGCGTTTTGTGTATGCAAAGAATAGTGTCACCATAGGTTTTATATGACAACATTATTTTTAGCGTACTCAATATTCACTCCCTAATGCGGAGTTTTGCAACGAGTACAAGAATGCACACCTTCTGTGATGCCTGATCCCAGCACGTCGCTGCATTGCAGTGGCAGTACCGTTGTTCCTTCTTACAGTCAAGGATCCAGCAGGAGGTAAATTAAGGTTGGATGGTCGGCTGCATTCCACATAGTTAAAGACATATCTGATTATTATGTCATGACTCGGTCACACTATCCTGGGCATGTTGGTGCATATCAGGCTGAAAAGCAATAGATTTAAGATCTAGGAATGATAAATTACCTTTAACTAAATGACTAGCAAACGTATTCAGCCATTCTGGAGCTCAAAAGATTCTTTAAGGTATTTCTGTTATTACGGAAATAGAACAATAAGGTGAGACCGGTAACTTTTGTGGTAGGCTTGCTTGGGCAAGAAAAAGGAAGAAAACAGGGAACAGTTTCAGGTCTAGGGGGAGCACTCAATGCACACATTGAAGCTCGCACAAGTTGGACATACCTGACTAAGCACAGCACAAGGAAGTAAGTCACTCAACGCACAATAGTGCAGTGGTTTTACAGGCGGCGCACTGGACGTTCACTGAGTGATGATGCACTGTTAAGTTTCTTATATGCACAGCACAACACAGTAGAAACCCCACACACATATGCATTAAGACTAGGTACCATCATTGATTAATTAGACCGGTACTCTCAAGACAAAATTCAAGTTTCTCTACCAGCTTCTACTTCCATGCTTTGCTTAGAAATTTAGCAAATTTGCTGCAAAGATTAAGCTAAAAACTCAAAAATATGATTTTCCACAGGAAAACTAGTGAGGTTACTTCGGACATCACACAACCTCTAGAAGAAAGTCAAGATACTGAGCACTCACTTCAATACAGGTTGTTTTGTTTTGTTTTGTTTCCTTACCGAAGATAGATACCCTATTTCACATTCACTCTATTTCACATTCAGCCTGCATCAGATATGTTCCCTGTCAGGTAATAGCATCTGCATCAGCATACTCACGTGTTCAGCAGCACCTCTTCCGGTTCATCAAGGTGTTCCGGCGCAGGCACTTGGCTGCAGGTAGTACAGTAACCTCTATTACAAGATTCACGCTTTTTCTTGCTTGGCTAGCACCCATACTTGGTTAGTTATTGTTCGCAGCTAACAAATCCACTAAAGGTTCGCATCTTCATAATTTTTTTTTTTTTGGGGGGGGGGGGGGGGGGTAAGGATGTAATCGTCTTTTTGTGTGCACTGGTGAAATTCTTTTACTCTTCCATATGCGTCATCATCATTTTTGTGGGAAATATCAAGAAATGAAAATAGCTAGCCAATTTTGAATTCTGTGTAATAAAGTTTGATAAGAAAAATATTTATTTATTATTTATATTCTAAATACACCCAAAAGTAGGACATACGTGCTTAGCAGCAACTCCACTGGTGTAGGTACGTGCTCCAGTGTGGCCTCTTCCACCAATACACAATCTTCTTGGACGCAGTCGAAACGTTGCTCTGGTGCGGTCGTTCTAAAAAAAAAGTGAAAAAGTAGGTTTTCCCATTTATTATAAGGACGAAGTAAAATAACTCGATGAACTCACGTTTCTCCGTCCATTTCCACGTCGTCGTCGTAAGCACTCGTGTCTCTAACAAATTCGTGAGGGAGAGCGTCTTTTATCGCGGTGTCCACGGCGGATGGCTCCTTCGGTGGTGCACCACCTCCCGTCCTCGAGAGTTCTTTGGAGTAATCCCGCTAATTCTTTTTTGCTGTCAGCTTCATGCGTCTGCATTGCTCCTTGATACGATCGAGGTCGCGAACTTTCGTTGTCGACTCCGCTCTGAAGTTTGAATCAATTACTTGCCAGGCCTTCTTTTTTTGTACGTTGACTTCGTGGTCGTTCGACTTGTCCTCGATGACAGCAACGTAAGGTAGAATCAGATCCAAGAGCCTTAACTTCTCCGTCTGGTCCCAGTATTCACCTCGCGGTCTTTTTTGCTTCTGAGCCGAGGACGAACGAACGGTGGACGAACCCATCACGCACGAAACAAAGCACGACCAAAACACCTGACCAAATTGGCGCGACGGCTGATGTCGGATTGGATTGAACTGGATTCTGTCGGCAAAACTCGACAACCGGATGTCAACTGTGCGCGTCGCGTTGTTGACATCCGGTATTTTTTTTCCGGTAGGGCCTGAGCGCATGCGTGATAAGGCCGCTGACGTCACTTCCGCCGTGTAACTCCTGACTAGATAGTCGCCCGCTCGCACAGAGCAAATCGGCGCTCGTGAATACCGCAGAACATAATCGCTTGTTAGTCGCGGATTTCTTGTTTAGCTCGCGACTACTTAGTCGTGCTACTAACCTTAAAACGGCGCTAGTTAGTCGCGCCTGGTGAATACGGGTGTGTATATTCTTTCCGGCGGGCACACAATACTCCGACAGCATGCTTGCGGCTGATGTGGATTGCAGGAGGTGGCTAACAGGACGACCAATGCACAGAAAATAGGTTGAGCACAACTAGGGGTGTCGCGAACCGGCCGCGGTTCGAGGTCGACCAGGTTCGACTTTTTCGAACTTTTGGTGGAAAGTTCGACGAACCTTCTATTGAGGTTCGACTCGTGTGCGCATGCGCGACAGGCTGGCCAGTTGGCTTCGGATTGGATGATAATGGCTAAGAGATGAATTAATTGCAGCACTGATTGGCTATTTCAGTTAATACAGTACTAAAAATTAAGTTATTAACTTCTTCAGTGATTATAATTAGTTTCTTTTAATTGCAACTGTTCACAATATAAAATAACCCTTTGCATAAAATTTTTTTTTCCAAACCTAGACATGCTTGTATAAAGGTTTGGCCACACTGTCCACAAAGCCGAACCGGTCGAATCTGGTGAAAAGTTCGAAGGTTCGTCGACCGGTTCGACCCAGTCGAACCCCGAAAGTGCGACCAAAAAATCTGGTTCGACAAAAGTTCGCGACACCCCTAAGCACAACACAGCACGCAACGATTGTCGCCGCCATGTTGAAATAAAACCAAGCTGAGCCAGGCCAAAATACAGTTTAGTATACGACGAAGCTGAGACAGGCCAAGGTTCAGTTTAGTACATAACCAACATACTTCATTACAAACAATTAGATAAATGTTTAAACAAATTTTTTTTACGTTTAAAAGTTCTAATGTATGTCGATTAAAACAGAAACATTCACGTTGCGTCAAATGAGTTTCGTCGTAACCAGCGAACGTCGCCGCGTCGGCCGCGATGCCTTCGCCAGCGTAACCAAAATAAAAAACAAAGCAAGCTGCAAACTTTCGGGCAGTTTCAGGCCTTTAGTGCCTTCGAAGAACGTTCTCCGAAAAACAAAAAAAGTGTCTCAGATGTCGCCGTGCCCATGGACCGAGCTGTGGGTTATGTGTCTACTTGGTGAGTACTCGTCTATTCGCTTGGCTTTTTCAGTGCTTTCTTTTCGGAGCGTTTGTGAAGTGTCCTTGTGTGTGTGTGCAGGAAGCGTGACGGCGAACGCGGCGAACGTGTGGGGCTCCTTGTCGCACACGTGCTTTGCGCATGGGATGACCTTCGAGCTTTTCCCGAGGAAGTCCCGCAACCGACCTGTCACCACGGCCTGTCACTGAGCGAGCAGTCAGATTGCGGGAACGCACACAGAGGCGAATGTCCCAACGAAGCCGGAGGGGGGGACGGGACTTCGTGAGTGTATCGGGAGCTTTATCTCGTAGATCGGTGGACAAGGCGAGTTCTACAAATCGGGTGGCGCCTTTGTACGGCTGTGGTACTGTACCACCTAACTAGGGGGTGTGTTTCGCGGAACCCATGACTGCTATGGTACCCATTATGTGCTGGCGCTCGTATTTGGACCCCGTTTGCTTTCACTGCGGGTGTTCGAAATCAGGTTCGTTTCTCTGCATTGTTGATGTCGCTTTCGAAGAGGTCTCTTTTGACTAGGGCACAAACTTTTTATACAAAATGCTGTATATGTTGCAGTTATTTGGTATCCCTCTGGCTGTAGTGTATTGTGAAGGTTGTGGAAAAAAACGCGCATTGAGTAATTAAAAAAAGATACACCGGGTGTATTTGCCAAGACTTTCAAAAATTCTAAAAATTAGGGCGATTGAAAAAAGAAGAAACTCTGTTCGGGAACAAACTACGAGCCACGGCGGACGGCAGGAATGGCCAAAAACCTACTAATTAGCCAGATAATTAATTAAAACTTGTTAATTAACTTTTTAATTAGTGGAAATAGACATATGATTCCAATTAGAAAGTTGCTGAACGTTATCGAAAACCACTAAACCAGTCATTTTCAAAAAGACTTTAAGCGCTTGAGAAGAGTAGTAGCGCACTAAAATTACAACTCGCGGAGCAGGTACATACAAGGCTGAAGCTCTTATAAGAGACGGAAATATGGCGCTGGCGCCTTATCGCAACCGCTAGCCTTGTACCTGCTCCACGTGTGGCAACTTTAGTGCGCTACTACTCGTCTCAGGCGCCCAAAGTCTTTCTGAAAATGACTGATTTAGTGGTTTTCGATAACGCTCAGCAAATTTCTAATTGGAACTATATGTCACTTTCCCCTAATTAAAAAGTTAATTAACAAGTTTTAATAAATTATCTGGATAATTAGTAGGTTTTTGGCATTTCCTGCCGTCCGCCGTGGCTGGTAGTTTGTTCCCGAAGAGAGCTTCTTCTTTTTTCAATCGCCCTAATTTTTAGGAGTTTTGAAAGTCTTCGTAAAAACACCCGGTATATATATAATGTAGTGTCGAGTACCGCCCGACGGCACTCTTGCAGAACGTTCACGTGCCTTGCAGTGGCACTCCACTCACGTCTTCAAGTGCCGTCCGAATGTCTAATGTAAAGCGAATTGTCAAAACGAGATTTTCGAAGTTGTAGCGTAGCTTATTGGAAATTGTAGCATAGCTCGCCTCATAGGCAGCGGACCCCGATTCGATCCACAATGTGGGCTTACTTTTTAAAATCTTTTTCTCGAACATTTTGTTTTGTCGAGGCATTTGGCGATATTTACGTCATTTCTTTTTACCATTAACGCTGGGAAAAAAAAAAGGATGTTGTCGACGAAACTTTGCTTAAAGGGGGCCCTGCAACAACTTTTTGACTGGTTTTTAATTTGCACCGAACTTGAGCGCACTGAACGTAGTAACTTAATCTTTTCTCCAATTTCGCTTTATTTTAAAAGTTATAGGCAATTTAGAATTACAAAAACAAACAAAAAATAACCTCTTTCATGACGTCGTAGGTCCTGGCTTGAGTGGCCGTGAACTAGAGGAGGGATAGTGAGCTCATCGACCACTCACGGCTGCTGCACTCCGTGTCGACCGCTCGAGAGGGCGCCACTAAAGCATATTGTGGATAGGCTGTATGAGGCGGGTGGCCAGGGCGGCTTGCATTGCATTTGCTGCGCGATTAAGGACTCATTGGGCATAACACTTCATTGGCCACAAACTACAGCAAACACGGTGTAAAGATCAGTTCAGAACGGGAGCCACTTCGCGCTGCCATACCGCCAAACAGCCAAATCGCCAGCCAAGCCCGTGCTGAAAGCCTTGGGAACGCTCGGAACCGGTCGAATCCTCGATCCGGTATACGACCGCAGCGCCGCCGCGCACATCCGGGACCTTTCTACGCTCGCTGTTTGTCGGAGCCTCACCCCACAAGCCTTTTCTAGTATGCGCCGTTTTTTCCGCCGCTTGGTGGCGGGTTTGTCGACGAGTCTTTTCTTGTTTCCATACTTTATAAACTGCATTTGTTTCTTTTCTGATCTAAATTACCAAACAAAAACTACTTTCATACATAACTAAAACGGTTCGCGACACTTATATTTTGTATTTCGACTAAAAAAAAGCTTTTAGCGGCTCTGACCAGTGGTAAGCCCAGGACCAATGACGTCACATATTGCGCGCTTTCGGCGATGCCGGTCGCCCTCGTAAATGGAAGAGGTTTCCGCATCTTCCGGTTAAAATATGACTCACTGATATTTAGTTACTCTCTCCGTGCCCGCTGGCTTGCCCGAACCCCAAGAGACGTGGAAACCGCAAAGAAGGTAGGCGCTTAAATATGATTGCAGGGCCCCTTTAACAAAATGGTATGGGCGTCCCTTTCCGGAGGTACATGGGGGACAGCGGGGCTCGGTATGGGACAGAGGGGCTGGACGCTGCGAGGCGTCATGTGCAACGGGGCCAAGCAGGTTAATAGTTTTGTAATTAGCAGCCGCATACTGTTGCCGCGAGGCGGCATGAATGTATGTGGGGGGTTGGTTAACGAGCTCCCCCAGGGATACATGTGCTGTTCGACTTTCTTTCGGACGGCACTTGTAGGCACGGGTGGAGTGCCGTCGGACGGCACTGTAGACAGCCAAAAAAAAAAACAGAAAATGAGGTGTTTCAAACAACTTTCTTGAAGAGATCATGAACTGATTTTTCAACTACTTCCTCGTCAGCTTTCCTCCTCAGTACATAAGCAGAGTGAGAAACCATGTGGTCGTATTTCACTGAAACCCAAAGTTCTGCCAGCAGTCTGAAAGCCGGCATGGACAAAGCCCTACATAAATTTCACACTTCACATTTTTGCAAGTGCTGACAACTATGAAGGGAGCGACGGGACAAGCGATGGCGACCCTTTTTGCTATCGGTCAGCCGCACGATGAGGCACACTGCATGAAAGCAACTGGAGCAAGCGACCAATGTGATGAGCGACGTTATCTAGTAATTCA